GCGCCTAAAGCCGGAAAGCCTTTTCGGTTATATATTGCCTCCGAAGACAAAGTCATTGGTGCCGTTTTGACGCAAGAGGAATATGGCAAGGAATATATCATTACATATTTGAGTCGCCATCTTTTGGATGTCGAAACGAGGTATGTCTTTATAGAGAGACTTTGTTTATGCTTATACTATGCTTGTACCAAATTGAGGCATTACTTGTTATCTAGTACATGCATAGTTGCTTGTCAAGCCGATGTTATTAAACACATGTTGCAAAGGGCAATTCTAAGTGAGAGAATTGGCAAGTGGGGATATGCTTTGATTGAATATGATTTGGGTTATGAACCATTGAAATCTATGAAAGGCTAAATTGTATGTGATTTTATAGTGGACCATCATGTAGATATTGATTATGAGGAAAAAGTTTGTTTAGTTGAAGTTGTACCTTGGAAGATTTATTTTGATGGTTCCTCTTGCAAAGAAGGTCAAATCATAGGGGTAGTTTTGTTTTCACCTAATGGCATGTGTTATGAAGCATCGGTTCGTTTGGAGTATTATTGTACAAATAATCAAGCTGAATACAATGCTTTATTGTTCGGTTTACAAGTTATGGAGATGGTTGGAGCTAAGTACGTGGAGGCTTTTGGTAATTCGGAATTGGTGGTGCAATAAGTCGCCGGAGGCTACAAATGCTTGGACAGATCACTAAATAGGTACCTCGATTCATGTTTGGACATTATTGCCAATTTTGATAATTTTGCTATTAGACATATTGCTAGGCGTGATAATTCTAGAGCAAATGACTTGGCACAACAAGCATCTGGCTATAATGTGAAGAAGGGATTATTTCTGATATTAGAAGAGCCGGTGCTTGATTTTAAATCTTTGTGCGAAATTGGCAAAACTGGAGACCAGGGGCGGTCTGACCGGCATTGCACGGCCGGTCTGACCGGTGACCAGGGGCGGTCTGACCGGCCGCATGCCGCCGGTCTGACCGGTTCTGGGCAGAACGCTGGGGGGCACGTTTCAATTAATTTAGAGGCCGAATTAATTGTGAATTTGGACATTTGGGCCCAGAAAGCAAAAGAAGATTGGAGAATTTCTTTGATTCGATATTTGAAAGATCCCACACTTAAGGTTGGTCGGAAAATTCGGCGGCAAGCGTTCAAATACATATTGCTTGATGAGGATTTATATCGCCGAAATATAGATGGTGTCTTGTTGAAGTGCTTAGATGAAGATCAATCTAAAGTGGCTATGGGAGAGGTACATGAAGGAATTTGGGGAACTCATCAATCGGCCCACAAGATGAATTGGTTGCTTAGGAGAGCGGGGGTTCTATTGGCCGGAAATGATTGATGATTGCTTCAAATATTATAGAGGATGCGAGGCTTGTCAACGGTTCGGCAATGTTCAATTGGCGCCCGCTGCCATGGTTGACCCCCATAATCAAACCATGGCCGTTCGAGGATGGGCTTTGGATTTTCATTGGTCAAAATTATCTCTTCATCATCAAAGGGGCTAAGTCGGGCTAGATGCTACGGATAACTTCACAAGTGGGCGAAAGCGTGCCGTGAAAGAATATGATTCATACAGAGGTAATGACATTATTTTGAAGCATATTATCCATAGATTCGGTATTCCACAAACATTAACTACGGATCAAGGTGCTTCTTTTATGTCTAAGGAGGTGAAGAATTTTGCCGAATCTTAGGGTATTAAATTGTTGAGTTCTTCTCCTTACTACGCTCAGGCTAATGGACAAGCCGAGTCGAGTAATAAGACATTGTTGAAGTTGGTAAAAAAGAAGATTGGGGAACACCCAAAGAGGTGGCATGAGGTGCTTTCCGAAGCATTGTGGGCGCATAGGATATCTAAACATGGTGTCACTAAAGTCACTCCTTTTGAGTTGGTTTATGGTCAAGAAGCCGTTTTGCCTGTGGAGGTAAATCTTGGTTCTCTTCGTTATATCAAGCAAGATGATTTGTCAAGTAAAGTCATCGACAAGCGCTTGAAGGCATTGGAAGAGATAGAGAAAAGGAAGAAGAGGGTGGCCAAGGCGTACAACAAAAGGGTGAAAGCAAAGTTGTTTCAAGTTGGAGATTTGGTTTGGAAGACAATTTTGCCTTTGGGTACTCGATCCAAGGAGTTCGGTAAGTGGTCTCCTAGTTGGGAGGGTCCTTATCGAGTGTGCGGCATTGTTCGAGGGAAAGTATATTTTTTGGAGACACTTCAAGGGGAGCGTTTTCAGCGAACATGGCCGGTTCATTGTAAAAAACAAATCTACAATCAATCAATCGAATCGTTTTTCATATTGCTTTTAGTTTTCTCTTAGTTTGTCCATCTTTGTCGGTTTGCGCCGTAAACCGTCCGCCGCCACTACGAGAGTGCGACAACTCTTTGTAGGCTTATCCTGAAAACCTTCCGTTTTACCCACGAGACGGGTAGTTATCTAGAAATCGGCTCGGCTAGCCGGTTTAGTTATCAAAACCTATCTAGGTTTAGCTTTTTGCTAGATCGAGGTGGTTGGCGACTCTAGGATCACCGCAAAGCTTTAGGTGCTGCGATCGTCGTTGTCAACTTGTCACAAAAAGTTGCCAACACTATCCTTGATTTATGCTGACTTTTTGATGTCCTCCTTCTGTTTATTGCTTTATGCTGCTGGTAAATTAGGATCTGGCTACAAAATAAGTGAATGGCACAGTGGCACTACCTCCAAAACGGTGCGTTAGTGTTCCACCATGTTAATCAGTTTAGGTTTTTTGATGTCAAAAGGGTTGTCACATCCTCTTTCCTTCTCTCACCGCATAAATTGATATCCAAAGCTACCGTCTATTCTCTGCTGTACTGGCAAATGGCAGAATTGTAAGCTAGAACCAGTCCCCAGCCAAGTCATTTTCCTGTTAGTTTTCTTAAATTCACGGGTACTATGGGTTTTATCTTGAGAAATGCCTTTTATCTAAAAGAAGTCATGGTCTGAATGATTCTTGAACTGTAGCAAGGGTGCATGGCTCACCTTTTGCAGCCTGAAGTTTTTATGCTTGCAAAGGAGGCACTACTACAATACCCATTTTTTCGAGCGGTTGGATCTATTATCCCGTGCGGTCGTTCGGCCCGTCTGCAGCTCCTCGTCTGGGAAAATCAATATTTTCGCGTGCGGGCAGGCCGACCACACGGGATAATCATTTTCCCGTGTGGTCGTGTTAAGTGGACCGCATGGGATAATCAATTATCCCGTGCGGTCAAATTATACCACCCGCACAGAACGAAAAAAACCAAAAATAAAAAAAAAAAGCGAAAATCGCCGGATCCCGCCGAACCGCCGCCAGATCTGGGGCAGGGCCACCCGCTGGCCGCCGCTTCACAATGAGGACGACGACCAGGAGGACGACGGCGTCGTCGTCGAGGGAGCTGAGCCACCTCGCCCGGTCGCCACCGCGCACGACGAGGACGACGAACAGGAGGACGACGGCGTCGTCGTCGAGGGAGCCGAGCCGCACAGCCCGCTCGCTGCCACTGCAAGAGGAGGACGACGACCAGGAGGACGACGGCATCGTTGTCGAGGGAGCCGAGCCACCTCGCCTGTTCGCCGCCGCACACGACGAGGACGACGACCAGGAGGACGACAGCGTCGTCATCGAGGGAGCCGAGCCGCCTCGCCCGGTCGCCGCCGTGGCCGGCCATCGCCTCGCCCGGTCTCCGCCATGGTCGGCCTATCAGAGGGGAAGGGGAGGAGGGGAGTGGAAGGGGCCGTCGCCGCGCCAACGGGACCGCCGCCGCCCGTTGTTGACGGAGGAAGGGAAGCCGGCTCTGTCCACTTGGGCCGGGAGGAAACGGAGCCGACGGCGGCTGCCTCTGCTGCCGGCGCGCGCCGTCGCCCCGTCATCCGTCCACGTCGACGATGGCTGCCTCTGCTACATCTCACCATAGGGAGGACTTAAGGTGGGGAAGAGATAAGGTAGAGAGAGAGAGAGGGGGGAGGAGTAGTTGAGGGAGAATAAAAGGGAAAAAAAAGGAAGAGAGAGGATGTGAAAAAATTGAAGTGGGTGGGAGAGAAAGGAGGAGGCATTTTTCTGTGCGGTCCACACAAAAAGCCCGTACACGAAAATCGATTTTTCTGTGCGGTCCTTTTAAGTCAACCGCACGGGATAATGAGGATTATCCCATATGGTCGGATTAAGACGCCCGCACGGGAAAATATCCCGTGCGGGCGACAAACCGGTGCCGGTCCCCTCTATTTTTCTGTGCGGTTCCACTTATGGACCACATGGAAACAAAAGAGGCCGGTGTCAAGGAAAATCTATTGTGTAGCAGTGAGGACTACCCGTGCAAAAAAAAATAATCTATATCTGTCGTTTACTACACTGAAGAAAATCCATCGAATTGCTGTAGCCAAGAATTATGAATAGGTATATATGGCCCTTCCATAGATATAGCGCTGCAACAGAGATGATAACTGTTGCAGGCCCTATAGTTTTTATGGCTTTTTCTTTTTCTTTTGTAAATTCCCCTTATCTCTGTATATATTTTCATTCTATAAAATTTATACTGCTGGGCAAAACCCTGGCAGTATTCTTGGTAAAAAGAAAACAGATATGATAACTAAAACCTTGAGTAAAAACCAGAACATGTTTAATCGGTACCACACCATTCTGTTGCGGATGGAAACATTAAATTGATGATGTCGATCTGAGCCCTTGCACGCAGCTCCACTACTCTGGTATGTTTGTAGTAGAAAATAATCTAAACCGTTTATCACATTTGATCGAAGGGCTTAGATCTATTTATACTACCACTCTAGTTAGTGGTAGTAAAAATGTGAATGGGTATTATTGAAAAAAAAGTGTAGAGGGGTATAATCGCCATTTTCCTTTTTTTTACTTTTTCGATAGAATATGAGCGATACCAGCGCAATGAATGAGCACATATCAATTTAGTCGAGAAAAAACAAAAATAACAAAATTACACAGAATCTCTATATTAATAAAATAACTGATTTACTCTTAATTCTATTGGTAGTACTATGCTACCAGTAGAGAGCACCAGAACTATCACTCTAATGACAAAGATGTTGAGTTTCTCCTACAGGGTATGCACCTCATGATCCTGCTAACTAGTGTCCTTATTAGCGCACCCCATAACACCCCTATATGTAATTGTTGCTAATTTTAAGATGGCCATTTGTTGCTCCACGTTCTCGCACTACTGGCTCAGATCAGAACAACCCGTGTGTATGACAGAATTTGGCTTTGTATGACTGGAATCACTGATACCTTCCATTCCACGTTCTAGTGAGGAAGTCCAACATTTTGGTGTTGTTTGTGGTTGTTTGGTAGTTCTGGCTTCATCCATTTTATAACTTGTTCCACATGCCAAGTTTCACTTGATTCACCTGGCAGACGTTAAATGGATCAGCATTTCTATGCATTGGGAAGAAGCATCAACCACATATTGTTCACATTATGCAAAGCGGTAGTGACGAGTTTTTCATGTGCATGTTTTACTGCCTCGGCGGTGATGCAATCATTCAGGTTTTTTGTTCGACTGCATCTTACCTATTCAAACTGCAGGAAAGTATTGAATTATTGTGGGTTCTGGTGGTTTTTATGCTGACTTGTTCAGTTGTTCTCGGTGGTGTTCTTTTTTTTATTATAGGACCACTATATGTGCCTCGTGTTAGTCTGTTTCTTGATAAAAAAAATTGCATGGCTCATTATAGTATCCTACTAGGCTTTTCATGCTCTAGGTTCATTGATATACAACTTTTCTGAATGTGAATGAGCTCCTTGAACCTGGATTTTGGTTAGGCAGATTATCTGCATTATCTTTTACACTATTGTATTTGGTTAAGTGGGTTATCTATGTGAGGCCAGATGTAGTGATTGGTCTTACTTGTGATGCTAACAAGCATGCTTTCAAAAGGTAGACATACTTACAGAATTGTTCTTTTGGAAAAATGGAACATGAACTGTGATTTAACGCTCTTATCAGTCAATAGCCATCCTTTCAATTGTAATTTTCATATATAGAGCAGAGCTACCTAGCATTTCCCTGATGCTATCATAACACATGAAACTGACAGCGAAAAATGAAGGGCCTAATATTTATTGTCCTACAATGTTGCACTTTGTAAAACTATAAATAAAATTATAACTCATTGAGCCGCATCCTTTCAGAACATGTTAAAGTCTATAAGGGTCTCATACCTAGCTTGACAGTTAAAGCTCAATTGGAACTGAAGATCTATTACCATCTAACGTTCATTGCATACTGAAAATTGGATTAGGTTCTTTTAGAGCTTAATAGGGCCTGTTTTTTTATAGGTTATGGTGTTTTGCCACACTTGACTTTATTATTAACCAGATCTACAGTCCTTGACAATACTCCTACTTCGGAGCATTCATTGGATGATCGCAGACCCTTGATCGGTAAGCAACCGATTTATGGCTTGTGGTTGCTGCTTGATCTCCTCACCTCTCTTGCAGGGGTAAGAAAAAGCAATGTACGAAGCACCATAAAAGGTAATTAATTTTCTCATCATAATATCGCAGATAGAAGCTTAGAAAATACCTACTTTTGGTTGCTAGGGCGAATTACCAAAACTGGTGTACAATCAAATGGTTTGCTGCAATCCTTTTGCTTACCTACATGCCCTAATTTATTAGATCGATCCCAAATTGCTTTATGTATCGTGTATCTTATTATATGTGCATAGGTCCTAAAAGAGTTGTTGAAAAATACATCTCTGTTGTCCCACATAGAATACATGATCTCTGTTGTTCCATGGCTTGCATGGATTACCTAGCTAATATATTCTACTCCTATCCTCCTTCATTTATTTTTAATTATTTATCTTATTTACTTCTGCAAATTATTCCCATACCAAACTAATTCAGTTGTGCCTTCTTGCTTGCAGGTAAGGAGGTGCTCCATGTAAGGACTTTGGAGTTGCTGGCATAGCAGAGAATTGAATGACTGTGCTTTTCTAAGTGCAAGCAATTGTGTTCTTTGGGTTTTATACTAATTCTCAAACTTGATGATATTGGGCTGGTCGCCTCTATATAATATTTGCTAACTCAATAGAGCCCTTTTCCGTTATAGCATCTTTACTTTCCAAATTTTTTAATTTGTAATTTCTTTTTATACGAGCAATTGGTACTATGAATTTACGAGACATATGGTCCTACATCATGTATGTCTGGGGAACGGGAATTGGTTGGGAAAAAAAGTTACCCTGTGGACTTATTTTTGTTAGGCTCATGTTGTTCAACTAGCCCTGATAGTTTCCTAAAACTTTGTTTAATTTAAGAAGCTATGTAATGATTCTATTTTTAGTGTACAAGATATTGGCGTTATGTTACACATAGATGTGTTTTGAAAGCTAAATAAAATTACATAGCAACATTTGGTCAACAATAGCTATACGTTTAACAGTAGCTTTGCTTAAGTTGTTAATCATATCCTTGTGTGCGCAGCTGTGCGCGGCGTGGCGCCGCGCTTATACTTCTAGTATCCTAAAAGAACAACCACTAACTTCGGTGTCCACCCGCTCACGTTTTTAAGATGTATTATGAGCATGCCTCAAAAAGGAAAAAATGTATATTTTTACCATAATATGAGCTCACATGAGAGTCAAATTTGTCTGCTCTGTGTTTACAACAAGCCAATCTCTTCCCCAGCAAGACATGGGGGATGGCTAGAGGAGGATAGAGATACATCTTCATCGGTGTTTATTTCGGTCCGTTAGAGATGACGACGGTGTGACGATCCATAAGCTCCCAACACGAGAAAGGCCGTTACATATCAGAAGTTCAGTATAGTAGGACCACAAGTGATGGTACCCATAAATTGGGTACGTTGCAGCAGCTCCCATTGCAAAAGATAGTTGAGGTTAATATGGAGATCGGATAATATATATCGTTCCTCTCTATTAGACAACGTATTGGCCTTGGGCATGGTTGTGATGGGCTTTATAAAGTGGCCCGTGAGATCCTTGAATCAATGGTCATGATAATATGGATCTTGTAATCAATGGTCAGATTTTTCTAATTAACGTGGGAGTTCCTAGAAAATGTCCGATTAGTATAGGTATAGATATAGATAGATAGATAGATATGATTAAAAATATTATTTAAAATTCGCCGTGCAATACATGGGTTGACGGCTAGTCAAATTTAGTTCTCTTTCTTCAACAAATAGAATGATGTACTTGCATGTGGGTTCCACCGTTCTACTTCCTCCGTTTCACAATGTAAGTCATTCTATCATTTCCCACATTCATATTGATGCTAATAAATCTAAATAGATATATGTCTAGATTAATTAGCATCAATATGAATGTGGGAAATGCTAGAATGACTTACATTGTGAAACGGAGGGAGTAGAGCTTTTATAGCCCTAATGGGCATGTGTTCGGGTGTTGCCTAGGAGAGCGGACATGTTCAACCTGAGCCACATGCAGGCACAAATACAGTGCTTCTGATCTGAAGGTGGATCCTTCAACTGAGTCAAACGTGCATGCACAAATACACAGTGCTTCGCAAGAAAGCAACCACGAAGAAGAAAAGGATGGACTTCAACAGAATCATAGAGCGCATGCGGTTCCTGTAGTCTCCAATCTCCACATGATTACTGAGCACGCTCCCACACATTCCCCACGAAATTGTGGCCCTGCATTGTTTGAATTGATCGCCACCTCTGCATGAGCAGGCATAGAGTCAGGGTCTGATGCCATGCGAATCGACTCCCGTATGCCTCCTATTCTGAGTACTCTCACCTCGCAATGCTCGTGGTTGTTTCGTAGTTTAGCTAGCAAAATCCTGATTATGCTGCGTGATGACCTCGGCGCATATATAGCTGCTGAGTCCGGCAGATGGCTAAGATATTAGCCTGCTTACATTGATGCCAAATCTTGTACCACCAAATAAGTGGGTGTGTTGTACACAGCTTTCCGAATGGGTATTTAATTGCTCGTTCTTCGTTAGCATGCTTTACAAACTGTTAAATGTTGTGTCTCGTGAAAACAAATTGTATACTGAAGTTTCTTTAAAAAAATAAAGAAATTCATTGTTTAACCAATTGTAACGATTAATATTTGATTAATCAACTGCTAATGGATTGTCTCATTTTATGTGGTGGCATAAATCTCAGCAGAAACGCTGAAACGAATCTTAGTAAGTTCAATACTACTTGTTGGGTGTTTGAGCTAAAGCCAAAGTTTACCTGAATCAATTCAATCAAGACAATTCTATCATACCACAATTGTGTGCGTGATTCATGACTAATTAGGAGGCTCTTCCTAATTTGTCGTACTTGTACTTAAACACTAATTTGTAACTGCTATTATTAAAAACCAATAAAATTACAATTAGTGATTTTGTACCTTTTGTTGACAGTGATTTTTAAAAATTAAAGTCATTTTTTTTCATCCCGATAGGATGGCAATATAACCGCTTTCGTTACACTTCTCTTAAATTAACTGATTTAGAGATAAAAGGTGAAATACTATATTGTTATGTCATGCATATACTCGAGTAAAGTTTATAATTGAAGAAGCTGTAACTATACACCACAAATCTATAAAATTCCATTAAGGTTCAAGTAGTATGGCCAAAGTCTAGCTCATTGTACATGTCAAACTCTCACAAGCACAAACCGAAAAGCCCAAATACGTTGCTTCCGACCTCTGGCAGTTCTTCTAGGGGTACTTGTTGTCGGACATCGTCTCCATAATCATGACAGCTCAGCTCTGTTCGAGCCGGTTTCTTGAGGCCTTCCATTCCGAATACGTAAGCATGCATGCACAACTTAGTAATTTTTATAGATTGTTGCCCTCTCTCTTGTTACACACCTAGATAGCTAGCAAAATCCAAACAAGGTATACGGGGTTTTCCATACTCTGCATTAGCTGCCAAGCATTGCTCTGTTTATATATTCATTTTGGAGGGTTGGGGGGGGGGGGTAAAAGAGGTTCAACTATATTCATTGGGGAGTATATTGCTACAGGGCATTAATGAAGAGAGTTTTTTTTGTGAGAAAGGCTGCATGGGATGGAATGGATGGCCACCAAAGGAAATTAATGAACATGCATATAGACTGCACTAGTACTGTGTGGGATGGTTTTCTTTGATGATTATTGGTCAGCGCTGTGAGCTTCTGCAATATACTTTCATTGTCGTAAAATGAATAAATCTAATATAGCAGGTTATGTGTTTTGATTATTATTTTGTGATGAATAATTAGCACATGAGATAATCGATTTTGATATTTAGAGATTATTGACATAGTGGGGTTTGGGTTTACTGACTATATTGTTCGGTCAGACCCAGTGGACTAGGCTGTTCAGACTAGCGTGCAATGTGCAGTAAGACCGGCCAACCCGATGGTCTGACTGGCCGGATCCATGTTGGTGTCGGTTTCGAGTTATTTATTTGAATACTAGTGATTATGACTTCTAGATTATTTCTATATGTATGCAACATTGTTGTGTGCTAATGTTGAGTCAAGTTGGGAAAAAACATGTGCACGGATATGGTTTCTTGTTTGATTCATATGTAGGTGTGTCTTGACATCTCGGGAGAGCATTGCTAGCAATGGATCAGGTATCTACTTGGGGTAAGATCAAATCCGGACGATCGGAAATATCATGCGGGATGCTTAGACTAAAAAACAATGCACATGGTTGATGGAGGTATACCATAGGAGATTGTGTGTATATGGAAAGTGGGGTTGAATTGTATTAAGATAAGTTTAGGAAGATTAGAGTTTGAATTGTATTAAGATAAGTTTGTTTCTTGTACAGGAAGGTTTCCTAATAGATTAAGACTTCTTGTACAAGTTCGATTCGTGGCTTTTGGGCGCACCTTTGGGTATAAATAGTAGAAGGGATCATGCCTCTCGGTATCAATTTTTATAATGTTTGAGTTGAGAGAAAAAGTCAGGCTTTCGAGTTTGGTCGAATTTTATGAGAGTGTTGTTGTTGTACTTTATAAACACAAATAGAAACATAAAGTTCAATCTACTTTCAACTGTCTTCGATTTGTGTTTTGGTTGGGTGCAGAAGATCACCGACGGTCAGACCGGCAACAACTGCATGATCAAACTGGCAGCTAAACAATAGTTAGACCGGTGGCTGCAGACGGTTTGATTTGAGTTATGTCATCGGTCAGACCGACGATATCCAGGCGATCAGACCGCCCAGTCAAATTCTGGAGAGATTGACGAAGTCACCACAGGCGCCTCGCTATCGACGGGTACGTCGCCTACCACTGAAAGCACAACGCGGTTAAATCCTGGAAAATTCGCTCCTATAGGGAGTCGAACCCAGGACCTCAGGTGCTACTGAGACTCTTGTAACCACTAGGTTACAGGCCCTTTCTCCATTCACATCCCATCTAATTGGCTTAATTTTTGTTGTTTGATCGTACATTGCAGTGCCAGGATCAATTGATTACGAAAAGGTCCAACAGCCACGCATCAAATGAACATGTCATTAGTTATGAACAGCTGCATCAAATTGAGTTATCTTTCTTCACCAAACCGAATGATGTCTATGGATATCTGGGAGTATTAATTGTGGCAGATGAATTAGGCAAGTGGTTCTAGCAGTCTTGATCCTCTTTTACCTGGCTAGCCATGGAAAGCCAGCCTCCATTTGTGCGTTGATGGCACAGGACGTCTACAAACTCTATTGGCCTTGGCTGTGTGTATATTCGTTTATGAATATAGAGTCCGGATTTTTATACATTATCTAAAAAGACAAATTCTATTGGTGTATAGGAAACTTGCATGGTGCATATATTGAAATAACAGGTGGGATGCAATTTTCCACCAAAAATAAAAAAATATCAAATGTTGTCATCACGTGTGGATCGATTCACAGGAAGTCAGGAACCTGACGTTAATCACATATAAGATATGATCGATGCTGAGTGTTTCTGAAAATGGAATATCTGGATTGATGACTCACCTGGCGTTCAAATCCACGATTTACTTGAGCCAAAATGAAATTATACATCCTTACCTCTCTGTCACAAACGAC